TTCGGGTGGCGACGACGAGGACGACGAGTATAACCCATCCGATTGGGACTTTATCCAAAAAAAAAACTGTGGTACTAACTGGTGTAGGTCCTCTCGTGGAGTGACAGCACCACGGATCTGCTTCTTCTCTGCATGACACAAGAATCCTGTCATGCACAGCTACTACGTGAAACCGCATATACAATAGGATTTCACGGCTGGCTAGCATGACAAGTGTACCTGTGTTGCACCAGCATGCTTTGCACTTCTAGCATTACACACAGTTTTTTTCTTGCATAGACTCCTATGAGGATTCGGAGGATTCCGAGGAGGACGACGATGGGGAAGATGACGAGGGCGCCCAGGAGGCGGTTCAGGAGGCGTCCGACCCGGCGGATTTTAAGGATTTCTACCTCGACGACTGGAAGGATTTTTCCCAGGAAGACTATGGATGTGTCAGAGTTGAAATCGACAAAGTTGAAATAACTTGCAATGCATAAAATCGATGCCAGTTGCAAGCCCAATGTCTAAGCGGCGCATGACAAATTTGAGTAGAGCCGAAGTCCAGTTTGTAATGCTGTTTGGGTAAGGAAGATGCCTGCTGTCATGCTACTTCAGCAGCTCTATTTCTACCCCGAAACAGGCTGACAATCTGCCTCCCTTGCCTGCTCTGCAAGACAGGCGCTTTCTGCGTTGCATTTTATGCATGACAAACTACTTCAACTTTGACGATTTCAAACCTGACAGCTCCATAAAGACCTCGAGCGGGTGATGCGGCAGAAGCGGTACGAATTCCCCATGATAACCCCGATTCTGCAGGGAGAAGAGGGCGCCGGGGGGGATAGCGACGAGGATGAGGATGCTGTAGCTGCGCCAGTAGTTGCGGTGTTTGACGGCAATCAGAGCGGTGGTCCGGCGACCCAGGTGGACAAGAAAAACGAATTCATCAAAGACATCATCTTCGGCAACTCCAGCGACTTCTACGACAACATTCACAATCAGGCCATTAACAGTCAGTTCCTGAGAGACAGACCTCACTTATTCAGTTCTCTGGCCAAGGCGCAGAAGGAGAAAATTCTGGCAAATGCGCACACGGGCGCGGCCGCCGCGATTGGCGCTGCTGCAAATGGTATCGCCAGAAAAAACTGTTTCACAGTAAACTTGTAATGCAGAAAATGCATCTCGCAAGTGTTTGTCTTGCTACACATGCAAGACAGTGGTGGATTTTTAGCTGTGTTTCCCATAGGAACCTTGCATGGCAAATTTTCTCTGTTATGTAGAACAAACTTGTGATGCAAAACCTGCAAGATCCTTACAGTGAAACACGTTTTTCGTACGATAAATGGGAAAAAGGGGACGAAGAATAAGAGCGATAGAAATGGGGACAAAAATAACAATGACAAAACACCGGCACTTGAAGACATCACGTTAGAGCAGCTCCAAGCCTGTCAGTTTTCCGGTCACCCCTCGGAATTTCCCATGCCTATCAAATGTAAGTAAAAATGTCTGGGTCTGGAAGAATGCAACTTGTGATGCTGAATCTGCATTATCCAAAGATCTGTATTGCATGAACAGCAAAAGAGGTCTGGTTCTAGCCACGGCGAGAGGGCATTTCTCATGCGGTATAGGCATCAGAAAGCCCTCACAAGATCTGTGATGCTAGGCATGCATCGCAGACATCAGGAGTCATGCAAAATGTGCATGACAAACCTTGCATCCTTCCAGACCCAGACATTTTTGCATTTGATAATGCCCGCGCACATGAGATTGTTGGTCGAGACGGGATATCCTGTGCAAAAGTATCGTACTCGTTGTAATCGCATTTTTGCATCACAAATCCACTTGTTAAGGTAAATCCGCATTACAAATTAAATTTGTAATGCTAAGCCAATTTGTATTGCGATTTGTAGTACTAGTACGATACTTCTTTTGCAATCCATACGGGAAAAATTGCGTTTTCCGGCAGGGTGGACGAGAATGTAGTTTGCGACCTGTCCCTGTACCAGATGCGGCAATTCTGCAAGGACATGCTGTCCAAGGCGGGGATGAAAAATGCCGCCGTGAGATTTTTGGTAAACTTATTCAGAGGAAAAACCCCCCCTCCCCATATCGAAAGGAAGTTTCTGATGCTGGATTTGCGTACACAAATCAGGTCTGTCTTGCGGTAGAGGACTGTAGGCCCATGCCAAACCTAAGTAGCAGAGTTTTGACGTAGGCGCGTAGCATGGCAAATGTGTACTCTGTGGGTCCCATAGCATCACAAACCGCCTGAAAAAAGCGGGGGAGTCGCTGGATTGGCCTTCTTGCAATACAGAGACGATCTGTGTCCACAAATCAGCATCGCAAATTTTCAGAAGTATCCCTTTTCGGTATGGGGAGGGGGGATTTTTCCTCACGATAGCACTCCGCTGCGAATGTGAGCAACAAGAACGCAAAGCAGTTGAAGTTAGAGGAGTTACTGGCGAAACGGCGAAAAGTTTTGGAAAAGGAAGGCCGATTGGAAGAGCATGAATTACTGGAAGATTTAGAAGAATTCCGGGAGGCGAACCGCATTCAGGCTGAGATTGAGCGGAATCAACAAGCTTACGACTCGAAGTTTTACGGGAATAATGCAAACTGTGGGGACGATGACGAGGACGAGGATGATTCAGACGTATGAACTGCAAATAATTATCGTACTGGTATAAATGCATGAGAAATTCCATCAGCATGAGAAAATTGTATTGCGGATCTACCTTGAGAAAAAAACTTGTAGTGCACGATTGCAATACGAGTGCGATGCTTTTGTAATGCATAAAACGCGGACTCTGACGATTCTGAAGTGAAGGAGAAATTCTTCGAGGCGCAAGCTAAAGCTGCAGGAAAACAGGACGGCAATAACGATGAGGACGACCACGGTGACACCAGCGGTTTATCAACTGCAAAAATGTCTGGGTCGGGAAGAGTCGGGGCTTGTCATGCACATTTTGCATGACTCGTGAGGTCTGTGATGCTGGTGCTAGCATCACGGATTTTTTGAGAGCTTGTTGATGCTAATCACGCATGAGAAATGCTCTCTCCGCGTGGTGCCAAGAACTGACTCCTCTTGCTGCTCATGCAACACAGACGTTTCGAGAATCCGCAGACAGCATTACAAGTTCCACTCTTCCAGACCCAGACATATTTGCAATCCATACGGTTCCTCTGACAACGATTCGGTAGATCCGAGGATGGCGAATGATCCGTTTTGTTCGGAAGAAAGCGAGGATTTTGACCAGTTTCGCGATGGTGTATCTATCGTAAATTTATTCCCATACACGTACAAAAACAAATGCAGTCTCTGCATGACAAAACTTAGCTTCGATCCTAGTTTGGCATGACAAGTTTTGCACTCCAAATTGATGAAATTTGTGATGCATCTTGTACATGCACGGGGGGAAATTTCTATTGCATACGGCGAATTCGAATTCGCTGACGACCGCTGCGAAAAGTTTGCGCACAAAATCGGGATCGCATTGATCCCGAAAGCCCATCGGATGGGACAGTTTGTGAATTTGAGGGAAAAGCTGCGCAAGATGGAGGAGGAGAGGGATCGCGATCGGAAAGGTCTGTTGGCAGCTCTTCAGGACAAGAAGAAGAACACAACTGCCGGTGTGTGTGGACGCACGGACTACACGGACAGCACAGGCACGGGAAGTGAAATTGTCGCGAACATCACGGAGCAATCTTCGGCAACTCCGAATGTTGCCGTTGCCCCGCTGGAAGTTGTAGCTGCTCCTTGTTTTGAAATGGTGGACCAAGAGCTGCAAGTATGTGAACTACAAGCGCTGGAGGAGGTGCCCAGCGCGGTACCAGCCAAAGACGAAGACCCCTGCTCTTCTACTAGCGGGGGTGAAGAAGTTGAAGAAGTAGTAGACGAAGTAGAAGCTCCACGTCCGCCTGAAGATCACGACAGCGACTTTGAGCAGTGGGTGGCAGACAGCATCAGAAATTACAACTTTGACGACGAGGAGGAGGACTTCTCCGATTCTACTTCTTCCTCGAGCTGCTCAAGTGCAGCTGCGCCGGACAACCAGGACCACGATAATTCTCCGCTGCACGACCACGACCATCTCGTCAACGGTGACGAGGTTGTGGTGCAAGAAGAAAAATCCGTAGTACCAGTCGTCGATGAAGAAGATCTTCGACAAACGATCTACGAGAACAGCATCGAGACAAGACTGAAAGAGCTGCTTGGGGAAGCCGATTTTGAAGTTTACTGCAAAGATATGCAGGAGTTGTTGGATAGGAAATTGCTCATGGACGAGATGAAATTGAAAACTGGTGATCCACCAGCTGCATCTGAACAAGAAGAAGAAGTAGAACAAGATGAGAGTACTAAACTCGTCGCCTTTGTGAAAAAAGCGCTGAAGCCACCGGAAATCAAGATTTTGCGGCAAATCTGCAAATTGGAAAAAGCTTGGAGCAAGCATCTTCGGATAAAGCAGGGCGGAGGGCGAATATCAAAGCCGCGTGAGCGAAACTGCAAGGGTCTGGGTGTCCAAGAGGACGCCGGCCCCGCCACGATTATGGTCGAAGAGACAGAAGACAGTGACAGCTTGCTGAATTCATCATCATCCTCGGAGTCAATTGGTGGATTCGAACTTGCAAACGTGTTCAGTTCATCTTCATCCTCGGCGTCAACTGGTGGATTCGATGTTGCAAACAGGACGAGCAGTGGCGACGACGATGGAAATGATGCAATAACCTACGATGAGGATTTTTGGAGCTCCGACTACGACTTTGGATTCGAGCACCAGAATTTCGAAGATAGCATTTTCTCATCGCCAGCAGAAAGCGTCGAACTACCGCTACAACAAGAATTTTTATCGGTTGTGCAAGAACATCAGATGCCACCTTCATCTTCTTCAAGAACTTCTGCCACTGCGCAGCGAACCGCGCCATCTTCACTTCATGCGCAAAAAGGGGCGCTGCGGCTGCCAGTGCCAGTGAACAAGAACAGTGGTAGCTGCAGTTTTTCCGCTTGCAGTTCTGCCCGAGAGCAGGAAGTTGTGCGATTGTTGCACAAGAGGAAGCAGAAAGATGGATCTTCTAGCGGCTGGTGCGAAGCAGGTGCATTGTCACCTTCGAGACAACATCTTCGAGGAAGCAAAAAGCAAAAGAAAACGACCCTAGGGATGATCGGCTACGACCAGGTGGAAGATGAACATCAAGCACAAGCGACTTATTCCCTCTCGACCGCGATTCCGACCCACGTCCAGCACCAGTTTCTTGACCGCTACGTGACAAGACTCTTTGAGAAAACAAACGCCTTTTGCCGCAACACGTGTCCACAAGTAGTGGGGCCTCCACGAATTGCACCGGCGTGGTCCTCGAGAGGCGGAGCAAAAGAAAGCTTTTCTTGTGTCGGCGCCACTACTATTTCCACGAAAAACGCCCCCGCCTCGGACCCGAACATCCTGCCCATCGGCCCCGGTTGGCCCAAGTGGTACCGAGATGCGTACGAAAAATACAGCTATCCTGTGCAAAAGTATCGTACTCGTAGTAATCGCAGTCACGCATTACAAATCTCCCTCCTAAGCTAAATCCGCATTACAAATTCCATTTTTCACGCTGAGGGAATTTGTCATGCGATTTATACTAGTACGATGCTTTTGCAGTTCATAACAGCACCAAGCAGCGCGAGTTTGGGTCGAAGGTGAAGTTGTTGCGGAAATGGGTGAAAAAAGAACTTCCGGTGGATAAAACTTGCTCGGGAATGCAGAAGAAGATCATCCGACAGATTATCAACTGCAAAAGTGTCTGGCTCTGGAAGATTGCAACTTGTCATGCTGCATCTGAATCGCGATCGTGGAAATATTTGTGTTGCATGATTCCCAAAAGAGGCTCACTACTTTTGAACAAGTTTAGAGGCAGTTTCTGATGCAGGAAAGGCATGATAGAGAACTCACAGAACCTGTCATGCTAGGCCGTGCATACAAGACCGCGTGGGTCATGGAGAACCTGCATGACAAACCTAGCAATCTTTCAGACCCAGACATATTTGCATTTGATAGAGATCTACGAAATGCAAGTCAAAGGTCTGCCGTACGCGTATATTTGTGAGGATGGTCGTGATAGTGCCAGTGAAGACTATAGCTGCGACGAGGAGGAGGAGGATTGTGCTGACACAAGTTCCAATTCGAGTTCTGGTTTATCCAGGTCCAGCTTCGCTGTAAAAACGTCAGCACGCGGCACCACAAAGAGGAAAACCACTGAAAATAACACCCCGCTGCACCTTTGCTACTACGACCAGCGGTTCACCTCCTGGGATCCCTTTGCAAAGCTCAACGGCACCTTCGCACTCTTGACCGCAGTGCTGGCACAGGGGGCGCGATCCTCCTGGGCACAAGAAGAGGCGTTGACCAAGGCATTGCGCTCGTGCGCAGTAGATACGGGAATAATAAATGCAGAACAAGCAGTTCTAGACACCAAGGCAAGGCTAGCGCCCGCAGCCACCTCTTGCGCGTCCTCCTCGGGGGGAGCGTGGTCGTCGGAATATAATATCGATGCTGCATCACATTCACAAGCAGGGGAATTTTTGCATCCTCCCTCTCCAGCGGCCGTTTCAACCACGCGGAATGCGAACAGCGCGGGCCGGAATATTAAACGGGAAGATCATGAAGAACAACAAGTGCACGACGATGATAAAAAACCTCTTTTGACTCACAAAAACTGGCACCGGGGGACGAGGTACGAGAATCTGAAGAGAAAGTCTGAGGAGTTCCCCTTGTCTTCCACCCCGTGGAGCCCGTACTACAAAGGCTACCAGGCGCTGCGAACGGGCGTCTTGAAGCACTTGCCCGGTAGCAACTTGTACTGGAGCAAGATGGAGGCCGAAAATTTGGTCCAAACGGAGACCACCTACGGAGCAGGCTGTAATGTAGTTGAGGACAGCACGACCACTTCTGGCGGAGTACTAGAACAAGCCGGAACTACTGCCTTGTTGGTGAAAAAGCACCACATCACGGGCTCTTTCGCTACCATTTCTCAAAAGCGCCAGGACCCGTGGAGTTCGATTTGGATTACCCCGGCCTGCCCTAAGATTGCGGATCAGGTTGGACTGGTCAAGAATGTGCAACGTCGTTTTGCTAGGCCGAAAAATAGTAAACTCGATCCCAATTCCAAGGAAGAGTACCAGTTCCTTGGCCGAGGGAAACACGCGTTGCTGGACAGCAAAAACTTTCTGGAACGCCGCCTGGATGAGATCGGGCAGGCGCAGTGGGAGGACGAGGAAAGGCGACGTCACGATGATGTTCTTACGCACAGAGGACACCAGACGGAGGTGGAGGCAAGAACTGCCTCTAACTTGTTTTATCAAGAGGACAAGCATAAGCCTGCCCCCGGCGCCCCTCGTGGAGCGGCAAATGAAGCTGAAGCAGCTACTTCCGCAGGAAAAATATACAAGTTTCGAAAATTGTCCTTCCCGACGATTTTTAACGACAATTTGTTTGACGAACACGAACTGCCACAACGACAACCACAAAAACTTTCGGGTGGTGGTGGTGCTGGACCTGCAGGCAGGGGCACCAGCCCAGCAATACAAACTGCAGCAGGAATTATAAAGGCAACCTCGGCCTTTTCGCCCCGTTGGGCAGATATGTCGGACTTCAGTGACGATGAAGAGGAAATCAAGTTGCTCCGACCAAGCTTTTCGATCTCGCAGGCGGGTGGTGCAGCCAACAGATTATCTTCGGCGAAGAATGTTCTTGGTGCGCCGTTAGTACCAGACGGCACGACTGCGTATTCGATACCAGCATCGCGCCAAATCGACCGCGTGCTCCATCCAAGTGAAAAGCTTTTCGACGATTATCGGCGGGAGTTCGAAGCGGAGTACCGGGACGGGCCCAGCCGCGCAGCCGCCGCGGGCTTGGACCAACTCTTTGGGGCGGCACCCGGTCGGGACGGTTCGTCACACGTGCTAGACGATTCACCTTCCATACAAGACGCGCGAAAGAACACCATGAACTACCCATCGTCGACCTCATCGTCCACTTCTTTTATCAATCTGTTCGGGCACCCGAATATGCACTTGCACAACGATCAGAAGTTCCGGCAGTTGCGCGTCTTCCGCGGGCAAAAATTTCCCTGTTTGCCGGTGCGCCTGACGAAGCAGGTTGGCGGGCTGTTAACGACGGAAAAAACAACGTTTGGGATGAAAGCTGGCTCTCCTGCTGCAGACCGGGGAAATAAGAGCAAGAACCTGTCATCGAAAGAAGATCCTAGTTCATCTTGCAATAAGTTCTTCAAAAGGAGTAGTTGTCGCCACCATTTAGAAGCCCACTTTGTCCCAGGCTGCAGTTGGAATGACTACTTTCACACGGACCTACGCCCAGCGGAGCAGGCCCAGTTTGTGAATTTTCACGACTACAACTTGGAATTTCCCGGTGAGCAAAACGGTGGTCCTCCTGTAGAAGTTGCTGGGCGGGAGATCGACGATGGCGGCCACTCAACACTACGCAGGTCCTCGCCGTCACGCTGGCGCGGCCCTAACGAGGACGACGACGACGACCGCCGTTCTTGCACTTCTTCTCCTACGACTGCTGCTGTAACTGCATTTCAGCGCAGGAAACGCTACCAGCTTCTGGCAACTGTCTTTAATCTCGACTTTGCGCAACAGGTGAAAGGGTATCGACGATTTTTTTCTCAGTTCCATTCAGGAGGGGGCGCGGGGGAGGTTGATGGAAGTTGTCGTCCACACGACCTCGAACTGGAAATCAAAACTGTGCAAAACGCGTCTGATGCCCCAGTGGACTTTACCGTGTTTTCGGTCATTCAGAACAACGACGTGACAAATGCAAATACTTTCGACTCGTCTGGTGATGGTGCTCCAGAGCAGCCGGAAGAGCTCGCCACACTGGAGCACGAGTACGACAGTGAAAGTCTTGCGGGACCTACTTCGTCTGACGAAGCAGGGGAAGGCAGGATGGGAACCACGCCGAGAACTGAAGAGGAGCTGGTTCCTCTCAGAAGCACGGAAGATGTTGGTGGACCTGCTGTTCTTGCTACAGAAGGATCGCTTTCACCTGGACTCCAGACTACTTCGCAAGAAGAACTGCAACTAATGAAAGGGGGCCAGAGCAACTACATCAACTACAAGGGCCGCCCTGCAGTAGAATCTTCGAGGAGAGAACGCAAATCGCCAATTCTGCGGCACCTGATTGCCCTGGTTTTCGGTGGAAGCAGAAGAAAGCGAGCGCAAGAAAGCCGTCGTCGTCTTCACGGAGAGATGAAGATGAACAAAGCACTGGCAGACACTCCTGCAGCCACAAGCAGTGGCCTTGATGTTGAGAATGTTGACAATGATACGAAGTTGAAGCAGCTGTCAACATTCGAGATAAAAAACAGCACGACGAGCAGCTGCAAGAATGACGCGCCGGCAGAAGAAATGCCTTCGCGGCCTCCATCAATCGTGAAGAAGAAGGACGAAAATAACGATCACGATGATGAGCTCCAGGTGGAACAAGAACGTATGATGAAAACGCAAATGCAATTCGAAGAGATCGGCGTGAATGGCAGGACGAGGCTGATGCGATTGCTGAAGAAGGAACAAACGAGTTTGTACGAAAAGTTGCTCATGCGCGCCTTTTACACGTGCGCCGGGAACTATGAAGGTGGTCCAGGAGGAGGTCGGCACCACCAGCACGGTGGAGCTCAAAGTGCTGTTGGAAATAAAGGAAAAAACAAAAATCATTCGACCACCGGGGTTGTTGATGTTCCCAAAAACACTCCGCAAGAACTCTCTGCGGTCATGCGGCAAAGTAAGCAACATGTTGACACCTCCTTCGCACATCAACCATCCCCGACATCAAAGCAAACCTCGATCAAGGAAATTCCCAAGTCCCTTCGCAACCTCACGTTTCCGTACGTGCTGCCACCCTTTCGCACATGGATGAAAATCCGCTCAGACGCCAAGAAGAACAATGGCCAGAAGCAAGAGAAACTCACGCACACGCAGCTGCAACACGACCTGGCGGACCACTGGCGCAAGCACTTCTTCGCGGACGAAGCGCGCGAGCTGGAGCAGATGGCGCTGAAAAAACTGGTATGGGAGCAGACAAATGGTCGACCGTGGCTGATTACGGAGAAGGAAGAAAAGCAGCTGTTGAAGCGAATCCAGATTGCCAGTTACAAATCGAACGCCGCCGCCGTGCTCGCCGCTGCTTCAGGAGGTCGCGGTACTACTGCGGTGCTGAGCAAAAATAAACTACAAGACAAGAAGAGCGCCAAAGTAGGCAAAGCGCTGGGTCTGCTAGACAACAAGAATAAAGATCGTGCGGCAGGTGGCGAAAGGGAAGATGCAAAGCGAAAGCAGGGCGTCGAGGGGTTTGTTGCTGCTGCTGCTGTATCTGCTCGTCCGACGAGGAACAAAGCCGGACCGAACAAGGAGCGCAACAACCCAAATAATCCGAACGACGTGTCCTTCGACATCTCAAACGACAGCGCCCAGGACGATCACGGTGGAGTACTATCTCCTGCGGCTGCCTCACTGGACCAACAGAATGGGCAACAACTACAAGAGCAACAACTCAACCACTTTGCAGCTCCTCAGTACCTTTCCTACTTCACGAATAAGGACCAGAATGGGATCTACGAAAAGCAAAATTGGCCGTGCCGCTCCCGCGAAGACTTCTGGGAGAAAATTCAGCTGCACACTATCCTGTGCAAAAGTATCGTACTCGTATTGCAATCATGCATTACAAATTTTCTTTACAAGCCAAATCCGCATTACAAATTTTATTTCTCATGCTGAGGAGATTTGTAATGCATTTATACGAGTGCGATACTTTTGCACTGTATACACACCGCCCAGCACCGATTTTTCAACCGGTATCTGGATTACTCTAGCGTGGACGACTTGAAAATTTACAACGACATGATCCTAGACTACAAGCCGCTTAACGGGTGCCTGCCCCATGAATTAGAGACGATTCTAAGACTGCAACCGGTGGAAGACCGCGCGGCCCTGGTCTACACTGCAATCAAGCCAAAGAAAAAAGAGTCCACCTCGTCGCAAGTAGCTGCCATTGCGGGAGCTGCTAGTGTGGCAAAAAACAAGTCACCGCGGAACAACTATCACAGCGGGGGCCACCGGGAGGAGGTCGAGAAAGTCCGGTATAAGTTCAAGCAATTCGATATGGAAGTGCCAGAATCGAAATTGACAAAATCGAAACATTTCCGATGCATAATATCGATACCAGTTGGAGTTGTTGGCGCCTCAGTTTCCAAGTGGCGCATGACAAATTTCGAGAGCACCAATAAAGTCCAGTCTGTCACGCTGTTTGGACAAAGAAAAAGACTGCTCCTGTCGTGCTATTCATCTGGCAGCTCGTTGCATCCCCCTAAACAGGGTTGCAACCGGTCTCATTTGCCTACTCCCCAACACAGGCCTTACCTGCCCTACATTTTATGTATTGCAAATTTTTCGATTTTGCCGATTTCGATTCTGACACATCCATATTCGATGTGGAATCGCAGGAAAAGTGGTATTTCCTGGCCGACGATACGACGGAGCAGGAAAATTTTTGTTTCGCGGAAGAAATGTTCCCAGAAAGCGACGACGATGAGGGTTCAACATCCCAGTCGTCTTCTTCTGGCGCTGCGTCAAGTAGTGACGGTGAGGAAAGAACTTTTTCGACGACGTCGAAGACCACCGGCATGTCTAGAAAAATCGCGCAGCAGCGGCGGAAAATCGAAAGACTGAACCGCAAAATCGAAAAGAAGAGAAAGGCCATGATCGAGCGCCCCATGGGCCCGACGCACGATATGCCCCACATATGGAAGGCAAATATGTCTGGGTCTGGGAGATTCTGAGACTTGTCATGCACGTTTTGCGTGACCCATGAGGTCTGTGATGCATGCCGTAGCACCACGGGTTTCTTGAGGGATTCTTGATGCCTATTCCCCATGACAAACGCCCTCTCCGCGTAGTAAAAATGAGAATCCTTTTGCTGCTCATGCAACACAAATTTTTTAGACATCCAAATGCAGCATCACAAGATGCATTCTTTTTCTTCCAGACTGAGACACTTTTGCATTTGATACCACAAGAATTTTGACAACGAGGAATTTTCCGCCCAGGGCCTGCAGTGGAACAAGTGTGGGCTGGACAGGGGCTCAACTTTGAACACAATGCTAGAAGATTTCACAGAGGTGAAATTTCTCACCGCGGTTGCGAGTGCAAAGTCCACCTCGAGTGACAGCAAGCACAAACTGTGCGGCAGCACGTTGCTGCCCCGACGCCTTGCGTTTGATCTGTTCCTCTTGCAGTTATGGCCCAACTACGATATTCCCGTGCAATACGTTTTGAACGCAATCGGCGAGCCGGTGCTTATTTCGGTGAAATTAGGCCGGGAGTGGATTCGGATCGTGGATATCAATCTGCAAGTGATCAACGATATCAAATGCAAATATCCCACCTGGATGTCTGGAAGAATGCAACTTGTGATGCTGAATTTGGATTCTACAAAAATCTGTACGGCGTGAACAGCAAAAGAGGTCCAGTTTTTGCCACTGTGAGAGGGCATTTCATATGGGGTATAGGCATCAGGAAGCCCTCACAAAATCTGTGATGCTAGAGCATGCGTCACAGACTTCAGGAGTCATGCTCTTTTGGCTGCATATAAGAAAAAAAAGTCCACCTATTTCAAGGGGCCGCACCCCGCTTTTTATGCCCGGCCCCGTTCCTGGCACACAGCGTGCTCCACGAGGCGGGCGCATAGACGGGCTCTTAGATCCGGCGACACTCATGTGGACATACTAAAGCTACATGATGACAAACAAAAAATCCATCTTACAGCTACCGCTTCGCTTTGCAAGCACCGCAATCGAGGTAGTGCTGACCTGTTTTGTACCGTAATACGCAAATGTCTGACAATTCAAAAAAACAAAACTATTTCATCTTCTCGTCGCCATCATAAGTACCTTAAGGTTCCGCACACCTCTATCTCTAGTTTCTTGTTGATTACTTCTCGCTCGTTCGGTCGCGCATGTGCGGTGCAGCCCGCTCAGAGTTTTTTGTTTTTCATGCGACTCTGCAGCCCTCACGCATAAATGTTTGCATGTTTCAAGTCCTTGGACTTTCATGGGCTCACGCACATCCGAGATCGGGGGGTGGGAGGGGGTCTCCAAGCAAGAAAAAAAATCCCCCCGAGTGGGAATCGGGAATAATAAAGTGCAAAGTGTGCATGACAAACCTTGCATCCTTCCAGACCCAGACATTTTTGCAAGTGATCAACGATTTCCGGGAAATGCAGCAGCTGATCCAAAGCCGGTGCTACAATCTATGGGACTTTCAAACGTTACATTCTCAACTGTTACATGATTTGTCATGCAAAACGAGCATCAACATCCACAAGGTGAAGCTGCTTCGCATGACAAATTTTGCAAAGGCTAAATAGCACCTAAATCTGTGCGGAATTTGTAATGCTACAGGTGCAACCTCCCTGCTTTGACTTTTGCCGTTCTTGCATCACGAATCCGTGTAACAGTTGAGAATGTAACAGCTGAGAACGCCATACAACCCGCGGGCGGGGCGGTACGAGACTGCGGAAGAAGAGGAGGACGTGCAAAACGCTGTTCCTGTTGACGGTGACACCGACCAGACAAAATCTTCAAAAACGCAGTCCGAGGATGTTGATGCAGGAAAAAATGCCGTCGCAGTGGTCGCAGCGGGACAAGGCAGCCCAAGTAAGAACAAAGAGTCAAGAAGTTCTAAGGCGGATGCAGCAGCCGCGCAGCAGCAAACCTCTAATAGCTCTTGGTACTATCTGGAATACATCGGTTATGCGAAGAAAAAAGTGTTACAGTTAGTACACATTGTGTTGCGAGAGGACAAGCAAGACAGGCAACCTTTCTCATGCAGGAAATAATGCTTGCCAGCGTCATTTCATTTGTGCTTTCCCTTACAGTTGTCTGCGCATCACAGGTTTTCTATGCCATATGGAGCAAGAACTTTGTGATGCAGAATCTCCAACGAATGTGTAACTGCAGCATTTTTATTTTCGTGGGATATCGGCGGCGGCGTCTATTCCACCGGCGACAATGAATATTTCAACGAAAATGACATCCGCTTCCACTTTGTCGCCGACACTCTTCAGGATGACGACGAATTTAACCACTTGGACTACGACCCAACCGGGCGGAAAAAACGCCACAAAAAGCTCCGCTTGGACATATGCATCGCAAATGCATCGTTCGTAGGAAAAATAATCGCATTACAAATTTTTCCAGAAACAAAAATAGAGAAGTTTGTCATGCTGCACAAGGTACAACCGAAAGACATCTGTCATGCCCATGCGAGATTGCGATTATAACTACGAGTGCGATACAACTTTTCCACTGGATAGGAGAAGCACGCGTACAAAGTCCGGAAATTCGGCGCCGACAGCGTGATGGCTTATGAGATGAAGGGCGCGGCCGGTGCGAAGGGACGGCCCCGGGGCGGCATCGTGCCCGGCGCGCGGCCGGGGAGTGGGGGAGGGGCTGCTACTGGGATGAAAGGGATGAACAGCAAAGGAGCTGCAGAAAATGAAAATGACGAAGAGCTACAAGCGGATCATGAGCTGCAGCTCGCAGGTCATCCTGGTATGGGAGGGAAGAAAGGATCACTCTACGGCGGACCACCAGGAACATCTTCCAAGGGCAAAGGCAAACATCAGAACAACTTCCGGACAACACCATCACAGCAGCAGCCACAAATGAACAAGCCTGCGGTCGTATCATTTGTAAAAACGTCCCCACCCCAGAGTTGTAATGTTAAAAATGTTTCTCATGCGGAGACCCATGAGAAGCAGTTTCTTTTGGTGCTTTGCAATTTGTGATGCTCAAATACCCGTGGTATGCTAGCTCTGTGATGCTGCTGCAGTAGCTAAAGATGACTACATTGCGAGCCCAAATTTGTCATGCGCAACAGCCAAAGCCTGGTGATTTGTCTAGCAGAATTCCCATCTTGGCTCTGGGGTGGGGACGTTTTTGCTCACCATAGGTCGCTCTCGCAGCCGCTGCAGTAGATCCTGGCGAGTTTGGGGAGGATCAACTCGCGAAAGTGTATGAAGGTGTTGCGGGGGAAGCAGTGGACGAAAATGATTTTTTACCGGAAAGTAGAACTACATCAAGAAGTAGGCCGACGACGAATGGCGCTGGAACATATGGTGCCTCTTCTACGTCCGCTTTGAACTACGGTCACTTCGACTTGCCCGATGTGGAAGATTTTTACCACGGGATGTTGAACAGCGAAGATGAAGATCACTGCGACGATGATCAAGATTTTTCCGACTCAGATGCCGGCTCCACCTACTCCTTTCTCACCTCCACCTCCAACAACAGCTCGGACACGTCCGATTTCTCCCTGATAGGCAGCGATGAGGACGGGCAGGTCGTGCGCGACGTGGATAATCTATGAAATACAAATTTCCCGTACATGCACAAAATGCACGACAAATTTCGCTAACTACAGTGTCAAACTTGTCATGCTGAGTGAGGTTGAAGGCCAGTTTTGTCTTCATGCAGAGACAGCATTTGTACATCGTGTACGGGAAATTTACTGTGGATATAATCCAAATTTTGACGTGTCAAAAGTACCGGACACCTTACCCGCGTTGCTCCCGGAAAGGAATCTTGGGATCAAGAAGAGTTATGCACAGAAAAAAGCAGAGTTGCGGTTGAAGTATGAAAAGTCTTTGTCAACATCAACGAATTTCGTTGAAAATATTAAATGCAGCGACCACGACAAACAACAAGTTACTTCCTGGTCCGACAAGCTCACGCATTGGAGCCGCGTGACCCTCGAGCGCAAGAATGCGAAGACGCAGCGGCAGCTCGCCCGCAAGTTGAAGCGGGAGCGGCGAATCCGCGAAGCAAAGCAACTATCCTGTGCAAAAGTAATATCCTGCTCGTAGTAATCGCAATTTAATTATGCATGACAAATCTCTTCCTCAAGGTAAATCAGCATGAGAACAAATTCCTTTTGTCATGCTTAGCAAATTTGTAATGCGGTTACTACTGCTAGTGCGATGCTTTTGCATTTCATAGCAGCGGGCGAAAAACCCGATGTGCTACGACTTGCGCACGTTTGGGGACTACATGCGGATGTATGGATGTGTCAGGATTGAAATCGACAAAGTTGAAATTACTATCTATTATATTCATGCGAAAGTAGAGGTCTACAGAGGATAAAAGAGAGGTGGCCGAGAGGTCAAAAAGAGGCCGACAGAGGTAAAAAAGAGGTCGACAGAGGTGAAGAGGTGGCGCGGGAGGTCTTTCGAGAGGGAGACCGAGAGGTGGCGCGAGTATAGCCCGCCGAAGGGTCCACCCTTTAGCGCCGCTGAAGCGCCTCGGAGGGTGCAGAGAGGTGGAAAGGAGGGCAAGCGAGAGGTGGGCAGAGGTGCCGAGAGGTTGCGCGAATAAGGCGGGACCTCTTGCGCACCCTCTCGGCGACCTCCCGGCCACCTCTGTAGCCCTCTGCCCGCGAGTATAGCCCGACTATTAGCGGGGACCCCCGAGAGAGGTCAAAAAGAGGGGCCGCGAGAGGGTTCAAAAAACCCGAATCCGCCCGGCGCGCGGCCGATTTTTCTGGGGCTTTTTCATCGCGCAGGCCCACACCCTCTCGCGCTACCACCTCGCGCGCCCTCTCGCGCAGCCTCCCGCGTCACCCTCTCGCGCGTGATCAAAAAGGGACAGCGCGGCCCCCGTTCTATTTCAGTAGGCACCTACGCCGAGGCGGTTTCGCTTCGCCCCCAAGCTTCGTTGCGGCTGCTCCCTGCGCATAGCGCCGGAAGGCGCGGGAAGCGCGCAGGAAGCGCAGCGGGCTGAGATGACGCAAACCGCGCCGGTATTTCCCTCGAACTATCACGTCGCGCGCAAAGCCATGGTGTTGTTGCCCTGTCCGCAAATAGTCCTGCCCCGCCACAACAGCCGCTCGCCCCGGCGTCAGCCGGGGCATGGCTGGTAATTTGTAATGCATAAAATGCATGAGCCGAGGTACGTGTGTTGCAGAGCAGGCAAGTGAGGCCGATTGTGACCCTGTTTGGGGTTACAGCTCGAGCTGCTAAAGTAGCATGAGAAAATCGCTCTTCTTTGCCCAAACAGCATGACAAACTGGATTTAGGGACCACCGAAATTTGTCATGCGCCATTTGGCAACTGGGTTCCAATTGGCATCCATTTTATGCATTGCAAATTATTTCAACGCTGACGATTTCAAATCGGACGCTTCCATACGATGTGCAAAGAGATTATTGGTGAGGAAAAGAAGGAACTGAAGCGGAAGAAGTGGTACAAGCTGTGTCGAAAGGTGGTCCTGACCCGGGTTTTCAAACTCTGGAAAGGGGTGCAATTTCTGATCAGCACCGGAAAAATCCCGTCCCTCACCGACGACGAGAGAGAGGAGAAAAAGCGCGAGATGAAAAAGGAAAAGGGGATACAAGAGCTGGAGAACGACGATGGTGCCGCTGGTTCGACAAGAACCACGATAGGTCTCTCACCAGCAAGCGGCAAGAGCGTTGCAAGTAGAGGACTACAACGTGGTCGGAAAAAAACCGAGAAGACGACTCCGAGAAGTACTTCTAGCGGGAAAAAGAGAAAGGTAAGGTTTGAAGATGAGGACGGAGATGAGAAGACCTCCAGCTCTCCTGGAGCTGTAGTATCCTCCGACGACGACTTACCGTCCGCGGCTTCAGAGAGGAGCAGCAGCAAAAATAGCAGCGATGAATCAAGCTCCACCAGTGACGAAGAATCTACATCGTCTGATGTTGACAGCTCAACGGGAGATTCGAAAAAGAAGAGGAAGAGCAAAGGAAAGATAACAAACGCAGACGGAACATCAACATCGACAGATTCTCAGCTGATGGGCCACGACCCTTCGCAAGGGATGAGCAATCGCGATGAAGATGAGAAACTGAAGGCGAGCGAAAGTACGGATCACCGAGACGCCGGGGGCTCTCTCGGCGGCACTGGGAATTACATGCACATGATTGGTTTGGACAACGTCTGCCGGTTTCGGCAAGCCCTGCAGCGAGTGATGAACAAATGCTCGCTGGCTACCGGGAACTACGTATCGGCGTACGTGAAAAAACTGGAAGAGAAATTCGCGAAAGGGGAAATCGCAGCGGCGGGCGATGTATGCAATGCAAAAGCATCGCACCAGAGTATAGACTGCATTACAAATTGGCCCAGCATGATTGCAAATTGAATTTGTAACGCTGCTTCACCTTGAAAAAGCAATTTGTAATGCATAAATGCAATAGTAGTAGTACTACGAGTGCGATACTTTTGCGCAGGATACGATGAGGATCTCGAGGAGATCGTGGCCGGCGGTGGTGGAGAAGATTCACCAGCTCTTTTAGGAACGAGGAGGAATCCAAGCGACAAGAACGACACACGACTTCTTACTCCAGAGGAGCTGAAAAGACTCGAGTCCGTATCCACTGTAAATTTTATCCTGTACATGTACAAGAAATGCTGTCTCTGCACGACAAAACTTGCCTTGAATCGTAGTCAGCATGACAAGTTTGACACTCAAAGTTCGCGAAGTTTGTGATGCATTTTGTACATGTACGGGAGGGGAAATTTGTATTGCATAGTCCGCAATTGCGTACGAGAAATTAAAGGGCACGATTCCCTGGCAGATGCGCACGAAGGCGACGCGGATGGACTTCGACGGCGAGAGCACGTTCGAGGAACTAGAGATATCAAATGCAAATATGTCTGGGTCAGGAAGAATGGAAGTTTGTCATGCTTGTCTGACATGACTCTCAAGTCTGTCATGCACGTTACCCAAAAGCCCCACTTTTCTGTCATGCAGAAGCTCCCTTTGTCATGCAGAAAAGCCAAGACTGTAGCACCTCCAAAACTTCTCATGCTTGCCAGTCAATTGAGGCGTCCTGGTCTTTCTCAACCAGCATCACAAGTTTCCAGACCCAGACATTTTTGCAGTTCATAAGAGAGCCAGGGTTACCAAGTGTGCGAGGGTACGCTTTTTGGGACGAACGACGGGCTGTTTTCGATTACGGACAACGAAAGGATTCCGCGACTACCGTTGTCCATGACGTTTGAGGATCTGGCAAGGTTTCACATTCCCGCCTGGCTGGAGCTCTTCAAAATCAAACAGCAATTTGGAAGCTGGTACGAATCCATGCGAGAATCCAACCAGTTTTCCCCCTTCGAACTCTCCCAGTACTGGAAACTGCACTGGCAAAAGTGCGTCAACCGACTGAACCAGCACTTCTGGATGTACGGGCTCAGCAAGGAGTGGTGGGAATTCTGCCTGTGTCAAGCGATCGAGCATTTGAAAGAACGGAAGCTGATCCATGCACACACGCGGGGACACGCCTACACCAAGCGGATTGCACTCTACTATCGCAAGCAGCACGCGGAAAAGAAAATCGACTGGACTTTGTGCGATCCGAGATCCTTCTATGCAAGACAAGGTCATTTTGATTTTCCCTGTACACGTACAAAATCAAAATGCATCTTCACAAATTGCAACCCAAGATCAAGATGAACCACGTGGAGCATGCTGCTACCTGTCACGCTGAGCAGAATTCCTCGAATTGAAAGAAAAATTTGTCATGCAGAGATCGCATTTGCAGCTTTTGCACGTCGTGTACAGGAAGTTCATTATGTGGATACCATCCCCGAGCACCGGCTTTTACTTGTGAAGGAAGCCGTGCAGTTTGAGCAGAAATGGCAGTTGCACGTGAGGGAGGCAGAGCGAAGAGAGATCAGGCGCGAAAGCGGCTACAACGAGGGGGGAAAATTACCGGAGTTTGAATTCAGTTATGACCCGGAGTGGACGCCAGCTCCTCGTTCGACGATCCTCCGGGGCCGCCGGTCCTCGGGAAGTTTGAGTACAACGCAAGAGCAGCGACGCGAGAGTAGATTTCTGTTGCATGAAGATGAAGAAAGAAACGCAGCCTCGACAGCACACGAAGATGTGGGTCATCGTCGTGGCACTGAAATAAACAACTCCTCGGTAGCTCCTTACTCGCAAGAGCCACCAGAAGAAGTAGAGGATCAACGAGAACGAAGCGCCAGTACAAGTTCCACCGGAGCAGCAGCTGCATGTACTTCCTCAACATTTGGCCCACCGTCTCAGCGCAGCAGCTCCACTCCGACGACCCCTCTGCTCGAAAAGTTTGTTTCAAAGTTGGAAGAGAAGAAAGACGCAAAAGACAAAGTAGAAGCCGCGCTGGCGAAAGAAAAGGAAATAAATCAAGTTCGAAAGGAAGAAGATGGGCGGGCGAAGACGAATTATCCGAGGAAAACGACGACTACAACAGTGGAACACCACGACAAGGATGAAAATTCTGCAACTAATATTCCCTCTGCCCAGGAAATGTGGTACCAAGCTTTGCACCGGCGACCAGAGAAAGAACAGGAGAAGCCTTTGCACCTGTATCCAGGGAAAAACAACCATTCCCATCCGTTTTATGCATGACAGACACTGGATTTTATGCCTTGTTTTGCATGACAAACTGAATGGGGATGGTTTTTTTGTGGATAACCCGCGGTCGCTGCTGGATATCAATTTCCCGCTGACGGCGAATGAATATGGGAGTGCACAACTCCCCCTGGTTCGCCTTATTTGTAATGCGAAAGACCCAATCCACCTCTTGCTTTCAGGCACTGTTTGCATGACAAATTTTGGAACAACCTAAAACGGTGCTACAATTATCCGTGTGCTGCAGATTTGTCATGCGAAAGGCCCATCTCTCCCGTTGCTTGTGTTGCTGCTCATGCACCTCAAATGAGGGGGAGGGGGAGTTGTGCACTTTCATAATGAATTCCACAGCATGGTACGGCGCGCGGTGCACATCCAGAACCCCGACACGGACAACTTTCCTCTCAATTTCACGAACTACACGACCTATGAGCTGCAAAAGCCTCGTACTAGGATAAAGTGCAATACAAATTACATCAGCATTACAAATTAAATTTGTAATGCGGTTTTGCCTCAAGAAAAAGATTTGTAATGCATAAAAGCAATTAGTACGAGTACGATACTTTTGCACAGGATACGACCTGCGAGAAGGTGAAATGGCGATCTGTGCCGGAAGACATCCGGAAAATTATCAAGGAGAAAAATCCCCCCTTCCCATAATATCAAAGCGGAAATCTGTGATGCAGATTTGTGGTCACAAAGCAGCTTTCTCATGCTAGGAGGGACGAGATGCGGACTGTAGTTCTGGGTGGCCTGGGAAGGCCTTGCATCTTCAGCATGACAGGAGGCAGCTGGAAGTGGGAAACAGCATGACAAATTGCCTGCAAGCGAGACCACAGCTGCGGCTCGTGTTCTTGGCCTTCTGGCAAAACAAGTCGATTTGTGTACTCGTCAAATACAGCATCACAGATTTTGTTTCCGATACAGGGAGGAGGAGTTTTTCCTTTTGATAAAAATCATTCTGGAATGGGTGAAGCTCCAAGCGCCCATGTTTGTTTCCCACCGGGAATTATCAAATGAAAATATGTCTGGGTCTGGAAGAGTGAAACTTGTGATGCGCCTTTCAAAACACAGAAAAATCTCTCATGCATAGGTACTAGCAAAAGCTGCCCACTTTCTGTCGCCAAAATGGGGAATTCGTCATGCGGATTCGGCATTGCGGAAGCTTCTCGAAACCTGTGATGTTATTGCTTTCATGCCAGACCTTCTGTGTCATGCAAAAACAGCATGTTGACTCTTCCAGAGGATCCAGACATTTTTAGATTTGATAGGAATTCTTTTTTCAGAATGACGCGAACATGTTGACGGACAGAGCCTTGCACGATTTGAGGGAAGGCAAGTGTTTCTTTTCCGAAGCACAGCAGGAAAACCTGCTGCAGGAGAAGCGGAAGAAGCATGATGATTTTAGTACGCATTCAACTACATTATCAGACCCAGACAGCGCAAGGAACACTGAAGATGCAAGAAACGCTCGGGATGACCGAGAAAACAGCACTCCTAGCTCTACTACTGTCCAGGAAGCTTTGGACAGCCCCTTCCTCCTGAAAGCCATGAATTGCAAAAGTATCGTACTCGTCTAAATGCATTGCAAATTTTCTCAGCATGAGAAGTGAAATTTGTAAATGCGGATTTATCTTAAGAAAAAGATTTGTAATGCAAGACCTGCATTTATACAAGTGCGATACTTTTGCACAGGATAAAAGCCCTGGCCCAACAGTACTACGCGTACCTGCGGGGATATCCAAGGAAAAAAGTGTTACAATTACGCATTTGTAGTAAATTCAGCATCACAAATTTGCCTCGCATGATTGACGGAGGAAATTTGTAATGCAGAGATCATAGGGCAAATCAAAACACACACGAAACGCGACTCGCAAGCATTTTTAGCATGATAGAGGTCGTCTGTCTTGCATGTTTTGCAACACAATGTGTGAATGTAACACTTTTTTCTGTCCATAGGGGAAAATTCGAAAAGCTCAGTAGCGACCCGGTTACCAGGCTATCCCACGAAAAAACTGTTTCACTGTAACGATTTTGCAAGTTTTGCATCACAAGTTTGTAGTTCTACACGACAGAGATGAAAATTTGCCATGCAAGATTCCTAAGGAAAAACACAGCTAAAAATCCACTGTCTTGCATGTGTAGCAAGACAAACACTATGCGAAATGCATTTTCCGCATGACAAGTTTACAGTGAAATATTTTTTGCTTGCGATACAGGCCCAAAGCCGCCGCGTATCGGATTCGAGCTGATTTAGTGGACCACCAGTTGCTGAGCTGTTGCGAAGATCATCATGTTGGACGAGTCGTGGATAGGAGTAGGACTACGACGGAGGAACATCAAAGCAAGGAACAACAGCTCGCCCTTGCCGCTGCAACCTCCTCTTCCTCGTGTGAAAATGGCATGACAAGTAACGATACTAATCCTAGTGCAGCTAATCGCACAACTAATTCTTCCTCTACTACCTTCCATCTCCTCGACCGTCACCCAAACAACTTCTTAACGCAAATGCGTTTCCCGAACGGGGACGAAAATTTCGTAAATCCCAAGTTCGAGTTATCGAAAAGAAAATTTCCCCCTCCCCATATCACAACGAAATATCTGATGCTGGATTTGTGTACACAAGTTGCTGGAGAGCACTGTGGGCGCATATCAAGTGCGAGTAGCAGGGTTTTGGCTTTATACATAGGCACTTCTTAGCATGAAAAACGTCAGCATGACAAATAACCGCCTGCACAATGCGGCGGCTGTCTGCGGAGTTGCCTTCTTGCAAGACAGACACGATTTGCGACCACAAATCAGCATAACAAATTTCCAAAAGTATACCTTTTGTTCAGTATGGGGAGGGGGGATTTTTCCTTTGAATGCGAGTATTTTACCAAAGAGCTCCACGAGGAGGACAAGGCGCACCTGGTCATGCACAAAATATGGATTGTAAAGATGTCTGGGTCTGGAAGATTGCAACTTGTCATGCTAAAACTGAATCATGCAGAAATCTGTGTTGCATGAGTGCCAAAAGGTGTCCACTTTCGACCAGGTTTGGAGGGAGTTTCTCATGCAGAATAGGCATGGCAGGGACCTCACAGACTCTGTCATGCTAGGTCCCGCATTCCAGACCTCACAAGTCATGGAAAACCTGCATGACAAGTTTAGACTCTTCCAGACCCAGACATTTTTGCATTTGATACAAAATGGACAACCGCGATTGGCACGGGATTAAGTCACCGCGTTGGCAAACGATTGCTATATGGAATTCGCTGTGGACGCTGGCGTTCCGGGAGGCGCAGTGCTTATGCATCGCAAAATGTGCGTAAGTACTCGTACATTCTAATTGCAATCGAGCATGACAAACCTGATTTCCTATGTAACTCACCATGACTACAAATTTAAACTGTCATGCTGACGAAATCGAAATTTGTCATGCGGTCACTTCTACAGCCAGTACACGATGCTACTTTTGCAAAAATGCATACTGCTTCGCAAGCTGCGACAACTTTATGGGGAAAAATGTTTTCTCGCCCGCGGAAGGTGGAGGCGCGGAGGAGGGTGACCAGGACGAACTTTTTTCTCCGGTGCCAGTACGCATTGCAAATATGTCCGGGTCTAGAAGGATGCAACGTGTCTTGCTGTTGCTGGATTTGGATTCTACAAAAATCTGTATTGCATGAACAGCAACAGTAACAGAGGTGGTCCAGTTTTTGCCACGGCGAGAGGGAATTTCTCGTGCGGTATAGGCATCAGGAGGCCCTCACAAAATCTGTGATGCTAGGGCATGCATCACAAACATCAGGAGTCTAGTCATGCAAAATGTGGTGCATGACAATCCTTCCAGACCCGGACATATTTGCACTTGATAGCCAGTTTCGGAAAACGACGAGGAACAACCTAGCAGTGGACCTAGTACGTCAACCCGTCCGCTGGATGAATTTGGCCCGGTTCTTGAGCAACAATTGCAGAGCAGCAACTGCAATAGCAATACCTCGTCGCAACAAGTCCAAGAATCTGCTGCTGGCAGTCGTTCTTCATCATCCTCACATTTGTACGATTACGCAAAAAGCAGAACGACCAGGGACAGTGTCGTTGTCTATGACAGTGCACAACTCCCCCTCCCCCTCATTTGTATAGCATGAACGGCAACACAAGCATCAGCAAGAGTGCCTGTTTTGCATGACAAATTTACGCTGGAGTGTAGTGCTATCTGGGCTACCAGAAATTGCCATGCAAGCAGTGCCATAAGGCAGCGACGGGATTGTTCGGGATTTTGCATGACAAAACAAAGGAGGGGGAGGCAGAGTTGTGCGCTGTCATATTGTCGTAGGTCCTGGAGGACAACTTCTGCGACCGCTCCGGGCAGCCGACCTGGAAGAATTGGATTGATGAGATCATAATTAGTGATTGGGAACAAGTTTGCAGCTGGTGGAAGGCGTGTTTCTGTGGTGGAAAAAGTTGGTGATGCTAGTTCGCTTTTTACACTATCCAGGAAATAGTAATGAATAAAGATAAACAAAATGTTCGAAAAAGATGCACAAGGTGGCATGGTGCTCGCTGGACCCCAGTTAAAAAATCTCGCAGAAAAATACATAGGCTTTTATATCGTGCAGCTCTCATCATTTTTAATTTTATTGCGTGAGGGGAGCTTTCGGTACAGCTACAAACAGCAGGTCATTTTATTTATTAAGCAGCAGGCCATTTAAGAGTGCCCTCTCTACAAGTCGAGATGAGGTTGTATTGCTTTATTTTCATGGCAATATTTTTAGAGCACAAGCGACGCAGTCGCAGGAGAGATGAAGACCGAACAAATTTAAAGAATACGACGACCTATTTCGAACTGTTTTATATCCAGATATACACAGCTTCTATTTTTATTTTTGCATCCGAAATTTTAGTTCGTACTTCTGACATTTAGAGAGTACGCCCACGTATATCCCACACAATCACGATGTACAAAGCGTGGAGTTGTCAAGGCGGAAAAGGAAAAGTATCGGTCTGTATTCGCATTGTCCTATGTCATAATCTGAATGTCGATATCGGTGACTTCTTCGCGTAATTTTCATCGGTATTATTTTATCTCGTGCTGCTCCTTCTAGGCTTCATCGGTCGTGGTGGTGGTCGTTTCAAATGTTTTTTGTCTTCGGTTTTGAGAATTGCAATCTTCGTGGTTTTCGGAAACAGAAAGAAATAGGTAACACCAAAGCGCTTTCCTGACATCGGTTTTTCGTGCAGCTCGTCCATTCAAAAATATCATTATCATCCGGAGGCGCGTATCGGTATCTGTCAGTTTGCCGTTCTATCGTACTCGTACAAGGAAGTTTATAGAAAAAGGAGATGAAGGCTTGTTTGCCACTCGGCCCTGCGCGAGGGCGACGTCGACGTCCGCTTTGCCGTTATTAACGTGATGACTTTTTCGTACACCATACAACGAACATGAAGAGGATGTTTCCGTCATGACTTCCCCGATCATGCAGCAGTACAACTACTTCTATACTTTTATGGCGCTCGTCTGGCTTTCATATTGATACTCAACGTTTGCGGCCTTCACGAAAACGATTCCACAACATCTACTTCCGACAGGGTTTGCTAATAACTTTCTTGACTTGTCAGTCGTCCCCTCGTCTTCAAGTCCGGAAACGAAAAAGTAGACCGCCTTCTTTAATACCTGAAAACCGAAAGAAACAAAAACGAAACTTTTGACCACGACGAATTTGATTTTTTTTGAAGCATCAAACTACCGCTACTTAAACTTAATCCTTCAGGAGCACGACATTACGACTACGAGTAAGACAAGTAAAACTCTGTGTAAGTACTTCTACAAGGTGTTGTAGTTGACTATGGAGTTCTCAAATGTTACATTCTCAGCTGTTACATGAATTTGTAATGCAAGACTGGCAAAACTGAAGGGAGGAAGATTGCGCCTTTTGCATTACAAATTTGGCGCAGATTTACATGCTGTCTAGCCCTGCCGAAATTTGTGATGCGAAGCAGCTCGATCATCTGCCGGCTTAAAGTGCTTTTGCATGACAAATTCATGTAACAGTTGAGAATGTAACGTTTGAGAACGCCATATTGACACGTCTTGTTGAGTTGTCCTACCAGCAGCTCAGCATTTTCATTTCATCCAAGAAGTGCTTTCTAATTCAAGCACTAACACTAAGCTGACAAAAATAAACTTAAACCGAAAGAACTCACCGCGAGGACATCGACCAAGGAATCGATGACTCTGACTCCAAAAAATCCTGCCGCGGCACAACGTCGGCCAACAGCAGGGCGGCCGAGCACCACTTCTACGACCCGGAGCACCTCCGGATCCGGATTCCAGCTGTTCTTGCACAACAAGAACAAAAATGGCCGCCCGACCGGGAAGATGAAGATGCTCTTCGCGGCAGGTGCACTGCGCGTCGCGATGCCAGGCACTCTCCTTTGTTCCTCGCCTCTATGGAACTGTCAGGATTGAAATTGACAAAGTTGAAAAATTTGTGATGAATAAAACCGATACCAGTTGGAAGCCCAATTTCTAAGCGGCGCATGACAAATTTAGAGGCCATCGAAATCCAGTTTGTCATGTTGTTTAGCGAAAAAAGGCATCCCTTGTCATGCTACTTTTGCAGCGGTATCCCAAGCCGGAAACAGGCTCACAATCGGCCTTACTTGCAATCCCTGCAAGACAGTCACTTCGTGTCTTGCATTTTATGCATCACAAATTATTTCAACTTTGTCGATTTCAATCCTGACACCCCCATAGCTTCCTGGTCTCGTCCAGGCCGTGAACGTGGAGAAAATCTCCAAGACGCGGCAGGAATCACAGCCATATCCTGTGCAAAAGTATCGTACTCGCATTGCAATCATGCATTACAAATCTTTCTCTCAAGGTAAATCAGCATTACAAATTTTATCATTACAAATTTTATCTCTCATGCTGAGGAAATTTGTAATGCATTTATACGAGTGCGATATTTTTGCAATTCATAAGCCGCAGGGCAATGCCAATGGCAACGTCGGAAACGGCAACGCCGGCAAGACGAACGCACCGCCCGCTGCCCGGGCGGGTACTAGTTCGCAGACCACGGAGGGCTGCAGTTGCAGTGGCGGTGGCTGTATCAGACTGAAAAGAAAAGATCAAATCATCTCTCCACTACTTCTACATCACGCGGATGGACAATCAATGTGGCCCTCTACTTCAATTGTCCGAGTGATTGTGCTCTCATGCTGCCCTCTTTGCAGGAGGTGGAAAGCGAGTCGTGTGATCTGCTTCATCGTCCACGAGCCGTCGTTGGTTTGCACGGCGGTGAACAGTTTCAAAAAAAAAGGTTTTAGAAAACATTGCAACGGGCGCTCGACGCAAAACCAAAAGACCTTATGTACCACTTCATCTTGAAAAGCGAAGAAAAATGCATGTCCACAAAAATCTCAATTGCAATGTTGAGAAAAGTTCTAATGTGCCTGATATTCATGGTTGCTCATAGAGTGCAGCTGATGTTTGCCAAAGTACTACTCTGGTGTGGTTTTTCTCCTAATTTGTCCTCATGCTGCTAGTCTCAGTTACCCCTCCAGTCTTGCTCGGGGGTACTGTTCATCTTGCATGATTCGCTGGTCCTCGTGGGGGGATGATTTGATCTCAAATTTTCTCGTTCGATATGCGGCGGATCACAGGAGAATACGGCTGAACAGCTGCGCCAGAAAAAACTGAACGCGAAAATACCAGCCGTCACTGGTCGCTTTGCTGGCGACCCGAACACACCTCCCGTTCCAGTTGCTGCCGGCGGCCCCAAGCAACAAGACTTGCTCCCTTCAGCGGGTGTACAACGATCGTCGGGCAACCAAGGAGGAGGAGCAGGTGGAGGATCTCAAGACTTGCACTCTTCAGCGGGTGTACAACGATCGTCGGGCAACGAAGGAGGAGGAGCAGGTGGAGGAGGAGCAGGTGGAGGAGGAGATGGTGGAGGAGGAGATGGTGGAGGAGGAGATGGTGGAGGAGGAGATGGTGGAGGAGGAGATGGTGGAGGAGGAGATGGTGGAGGTGGTGGTGGAGGAGGAGGAGGAGCACCGGGTGTTTTTACACCGCGACCTGATTCGCCTGCGGGTCAAGGCAAGCTGCCGGAGCCACCTGCGCCCGTAAAAAAAAATGGTGCCGATGGTGAGGGGGATGGTGACGGTAAGGTGGACAGCGAGGACTCCAGTACTGAAGAAGAAGAGCCTCCGAAACAGGAGCATGATCATGAATCAGCAGGGCAAGAAGAAGAAGAACCTGTCCTCGGCCCTCCTTCGCAACCGTTTGGAACGGAAAACGAAGGCGTTGTTTCTCCTGGGGTCGTGCATCAGCCTCCGCAACCGGAAGCGCCCGTGGTCCACCCGGTAGCTACTGGAGATGATGCTCTACCTGTTCCTGGGATTCAGAATGAGAATCTAGGGGATGGTCTTCGTCCTCAAGCATCAAGAGGAGGTTACTACACAGAAGCCGAAAATGCGTGGAAAGAATGCAACGAGAAGCAGAAGCCCGACGAGAGTTGCGAGATCATGATCTGGATTCGGCCCGAAAAAGAAGTCGCCCAAGCGCTTGGTACGTGCATGGCAGAGGAAGAAAGAGCATGGCTCAACAAACAAAACGAGTGGATACGGTTCGGAAAGGTCCGTCTGGATCAGTGGGACAAAGAAAGCTGGTGGAATTTCAAAAAGACCGAGGGAAAGTTTCTTCCAGCGTACGTGGAAGCGAACGCCGATGCATATGAAGCGCAGGGTTTAATTAATCGCAAATCTTCCCTCGCTGACACTGCTGACAAGCTCTCTGCGTGGTGGGAGAAAGTACTACATATGCAGTACCAGGAGGATCAGAATGTTGCGACGCCAGCGTTTCACATGCTACGTCGACGTGGAGAGGGGAAAGTAGAAGACGGGGAAAAAAATGCGGTGCTCCTCAACCAGCCCTTTTTGGAGTTTAACAATGCGGAGGAGATAAAGTCGACGGGACGCTCGCGGAAGAAACCAAAAAAAGGTAGGAGTGTGAATCACCTCCCCACCCCTTTGAATCACCTCCCCACGCATCACCCCCCCACCCGGATCACCTACCCACCTCCCCCGCATCACCTCGTGACGCGCCCGCATCACCACCGTAGCGGCCGGAGGTGATGCAGAAGCAGAGCCGGCTGCGGCCTAGGGTTTAGGGTTCGGGGTTTAGGGTCGTCGAGGCCAGCCGGCGCGACGGCGCCGTCGCGCCGGCTGGCCTCGACGCTTCTCTTTTTCTCGTGTTCCTTCCCCCTTCTCCGCCCTTGTGTGCCACCATTTTGGCTTCCATTGCTTCTTGGTCCTTTTGCTGTGCGCCCTTTGCCCCCGTCGTGTTTCCGTGCCTTGACTCCTTGCGGCATTGCCTTGCGTGCCCCGTGAGTCGCTCCATGTTCGCCACCTTAGGGCCGCCGCACCCATCTGGTGGCCGCGTGCGTAGGCTGATCTGTCGCGCAGGATGAGGACTCATGTGCGTTGTGGCAGATGCCTGGCTTCATCGCCGCGAGGTAGATGGCACAGAAGCCAAGCAGCATGCATCCAGACGTAGTCACGTTCTGCTCGACAATCACGGAGCAGTGCAACGCGGTGGGGAAGTGTTGGACGACTGGGAGGTGGGGAGGTGGGGAAGTGCCTCCCCACCTCCCCACCACTGGGGAGGTACCTCCCCACACGTGGGGAGGCACCTCCCCAGGGTGGGGAGGTGGGGAGGTGATGCGTGGGGAGGTGATTCACACCATAACCCCAAAAACAAGCGGTGGAGAAATGCGGAAGAGGAAAAGCCTATTTAGAATCCTCACGCAGCAGAGAGAGAGGACAAGCAAAATGTTCTGGACCACGAGGGAGGGTGTGATGGAGGACGAGGAACGAATAAAACGCTTCAATACATGTATCCTGCTTGCAAGATCTAGTGCGTGCGCGCTCGTTGGCCTGCGAGTGCAAAATTATCTAATTGGTCGCTGCCTTATTTCGTCCGTAGTAGCTGTAGCTCTTTGATGTCTTTGAAGAGTCTATTATATAGACTCTTCAAAGACACTGATATTATAATATAATAATAGTGGCAAAGGTTTTTTCACTCCTAAGGGAGCTCCTAAGGAAGCTTCCTTACGGAAGTTGTCCCTTAAGAGGGCTTGCTAAGGAAAAGCCTTAAGCAAAATTATCTTAAGGCGTCTGCGCTTAAGAAGGTACGCCTTA